TCTTTCCTGGCATGTTCAATAACGTACCAAGAAGACTTTCACATATTTTTTTTTCAACATGCATAACATCAATAAAATGTCTAACATAAAGTGATTTCCAATATGGTAACTCAAAAAAATAGACTTCTTCTTCCAACTTCCAGTAGGCAATTCTTTGGCAAACGGTTTACCAAAATTCGTTTTAATATGTTCTACCTCTTCGAAGATTTGATCTCCAGTTTTCAAATAGGGACATATTCGCTTTTCAGTATCTCCATTAAATGCCTTTTTCATTCTTCTAAAAGGATGATTACGTGGCAACCACCTTCGATGACCCATAAAAACATTCTTATGACAATTACCAAGCCTAATATAAGCATTATTATTACAGCATACAGGGCATGAACATTGTCCTTTTATGCTATATCTAGAAAGATTTCCGTATGCAGGAAAATCATTAATTATACCATATAACATAGCCCTAACTATGAATGTTTCTTCTTTGAACCCGTCATAGACCTCAACACCGCCATCTCACAACATCTTCAAATCTTCAATCAAAGGAGATAAATACACATCAATGTCATTACTGGGTTGTTCAGGACCAGAGATTAACAACGAAAGCATCATGTATTTTCGCTTCATGCAAAGCCAGGGAGGTAAGTTATACAAAATTAGAATCACTGGCCATGTACTATGTGTGCTACTTTGCATTCCATGAGGATTCATTCCATCAGTTGCTAAGGCAAAGCATATATTTCTTGTTTCAGCTGCAAAGTCTTCATATTCATCATCAAATCTTTTCCACTGAGGAGAATCTGCTGGATGCCTAAGCTTACCATCTATAATCCTACCTTCTCAACCTTGGTATAATTGGAAAATACCACATAACCTTAGTTGGTGTAGATTTTTTCTTGACATATCATAACGCCTTACACTTTGGACATTCTATAAAAGATTCATACTCATTTCGAAACAAAATACAGTCATTAGGACATGCATGGATCTTTTCATGAGTTAAACCAATGGAACCAAGGATTTGCTTTGCATCATATGTTCTCCTAGGTAGGACATTGTCTTCTGGTAGCATGTCATTTATTAAGCTTAACAGATCAGTAAAACCCTTATCACTCCATCCATGTGAGGCTTTTAAATTGTAGAGCTTCAAAATGACACTCAGTCGTGTGAAATTTGGGCTTCCTGAGTACAATGGTGTTTCTGCATCATCTTTCAATCGCTCAAACATCCTTGGACAGTCTCTAAGATCTTCTTCAATAACATTGGGGATGTATTCAACATGATTATTTTCCTCAGAATTTAATGTCTCCGAGTAAAAGCTATTTACATCCATCCTAAGTGACGAAATATCTCTTTCTATCTCACCATGTTTGGTCCAATTTATATATTTATCATCAATTTCATTACACATTAGATGTTCTTCCAACTCTTCAACATTTACTCGCATCATATTCAAACAACACCAACAAGGGCAACAAATGAGATTTCAGTCATGACTATGGTCAATTGCAAATTGAATAAACTCCTTCACTCCATCTTCATATACTTTGCTCAAACGACCGGCTTTCATCCAACTTCGATCCATATTTGCCTGAGGCACACTAAATTTGTTACATCCATATGTTATCTACTATTTTTGTCTCACAGGGTATGACCCTATCCCATTTGAGAATAAAGTTTTCCATGTCATATAATCTCTAATACAAAATATTTCACGGTCACACTAAACCATCTATATATCCTAGCCAACCTATATTCTATTTCAAAACACAATTTCATATCACAATGTAGGCAAAACCTAAACCCTAAAAGATATATAATGCACTAACCTATTGTAGACCTCCCAATAAGTGCATCCTACAACAACAATGGCGAATGGAGACTGGAACGTAAACTTGGCGACACACAAATATATTACAATGTAATATGCTTCAATGAGAGCAAGAGAATCAGAGAGATTAAAGACACAAAGAACATACCTTTAGCTTAATGGAAGACGCAAAGAGCGAGAAAGAGAGCGCAGAGAGCGAGAATGAGAGTGCAGAGAGCGGCAAAAAACACAAACACAAAGAGTGCGAGGTTGAAGAAAGTCGATGTAGGGTTTAAAAAAATATGAGTTTAGATAGTGGTTGACCAAATAACCGTTATCTAAACTAAATTTATTATAACGTTCCCACGAAGTAACCGCTATCTAAAATTATGATAGCGGTTCCACGTGTCAACCGCTCTTTAAAAGTATGACATTAGATAGCGGTTATCATACAACCGCTATTATAAATTATTTTAGAAAGTGGTTCTTTCTGAACCGCTATTAAAACATACTTTAGAGAGCGATTTACTCCTAACTGCTATCTAATATGTATTTTTAAAAGCGATTTTTATTAACCGCTATCTAAAGTGCCGTCACATAAGCCCATTTTTTTTTGTAGTGCTACCTAACTTTCATGCCACTCACATACCAACCTAAACTCTCCTACCACCCACATGACAAACTAACTCTCATGCCACTCATTACTATATAAAGTTTAATTTACCATCACTTCTCTCACCAATTTCTCCTACCTTACCATTATTCCCCACACCAATTCCTCATAACTTTAGACTTCCTCTATCGCCTCTCTACCCTTTTACACTTTCATCAATTTTATTGTTTTTTCTTTAAGTGATCATTGATGACTTTTGGTATTGTAAACCACTAGTCCAAGTGGATGAGACATTTCTATATGGAAAATATAGGGGCACCCTACTACTAGTTGTTGCACAAGATGAAAGGAACAACATATATCCCCATTGCTTTTGCAATTATTGAAGGTAAAATTGTAGATGCTTGACTTTTTTTTCTTAAAAAACTTGAGGTATGTCACATCTCAGGACAACTTGTGCTTAATTTGAGATCGTCACAACTCAATTTAGGTAACATACGCAAGACTTGAGAGTGGATGGACTGAGGGTAACTATATGCATGTGTACTGCATTCGACACATTGTACACAATTTTATGAGAATATTCAAGAATGCAACTCTTAAAAAAGACCTTGTCAATATGAGTAACAACTTCTATTCTATCTAAACTGTTTTACTATGTCATCTTGTCTATTCTATGTTAACTTTTATTACTTCAATACGCAGCAGATGCAATGACTGAGCCAAGAGAAAACTACTAATACAACATCATAAGACTAGTCAATCCAGAAGCAATAACCTGGATTGGCGAAACTCCTAGGAACAAATGGGCACTTGCATATGATGGTAGAGATGGGGTCACCTAATAACCAACTTAGCTGAATCCATCAATTCAGTCCTAAGAAAAACAAGGAATTTTCCAATCTCTTTTATGGTCATAGCCACATATACAAGATGCAACAAATTTTTCACAGAAAGAGGAAGGCAAATCACAAGAATGATTAATGTTGGTCATGTCCATTCAGAAGTTGCATCAAGGTCTTTGAAGATGCTTATACATAATCAAACACTCATAGGGTGCTTGAATTTGACAAAAGCAGCACAAGATTCTTGGTGGAGGAGATCGTCAACCCAAGAGAAGTTCGACCTACTGGTAATTTTGTTATTAGACTAGATGAAACATGGTGTGATTGTGGGAAGTTCAAAAAATTTCATCTACCATGTTCTCTTGTGGTTGCAGCGTGCAAATATGTTTACCATGATTACGAGATGTACATCAATCCTGTTTACAGGTTGGATGTAATTAACAAAGTGTATGACAATTTGTTTGGGGAGCTTAGACACGAAGATTATTGGTCATCACATCAAGACCCACAACTTTACCCCAATTTAGGAGCAATAAGAAGTTTCAAGGGTCGTTCGAAGTCAACAAGAATTAGAAATGAAATGGATATCTGCAAAGAAGGTTACCCAAAAAAATGTTCCTATTGTCACACTTCAGGTCACACAAGAAATCATTGTTTGCATAACTCTTACCTTAGGGGATCAACTTCTCATAGATAAATTTGTTGTAGTTTTGTAATGACATTACAATAAATAAATAAATAAATTAATATTCTACTTAATTGTGATTTTCTAACTTGTTTATTCATATTTTATTGATTTAGTATTTAAAATATTAATTCACTTTAATTCAAATTGTATATCATACTCAAATTATCTAATTCAAATTTTTATTTATACAGAATTTTAATAAAAATATTTATATCAAATCTATTTTATATTGTATCAAAATTAAATAACTTTTTTATAAATATTATATTTATTTATTAAATTTTTTTATTAAATAAATACTTATAAAAATATATATATATATATATATATATATATATATATATAAAAAAAGTATATACACATATTAAACATATAATTATATACTATATTTTTATTATATATAAAAATATATATTTATATTTATTATATATAAAATATAAACAAATATTTTACATATATAAATATGTATATTTATTTAATATTTATATAAACATGAGACTACTCTAAATTTATATAAAAATTTGTTATATAGGAAAAAAAAATCCACCGACTTGAGGATAAGATATGTGTGGTTTAAATTACTACGGCAGGCTACTCACAGGATATAAGGATGAATTAAGGCATAAATGTGTTTCTTCCCTATCATAAATCACCGGTCATATTCTACCTACTCCGATGGCTTTCAACGGTGAGCAACAAATAATTGAAGAAAATGAGTTCATTCTCTCCCTCCCCAGACAAATAGGTTTGGCTGGAAACCCATATCTATATCTATTTCAAGATTTTTGGTGCGCATCACATCGTGTTCAAGGAGTATACAATTTTCAAAAATATTTTCATCCAAAAGATAGTGATGTTTTTGTTGCGAGCTTTCCAAAATCAGGTACTACTTAGTTGAAAGCTCTTACTTTTTCCATATTGAACCATCAACGTTTTCCCTCTTTTGATAACCATCCATTACTCACTTCCAATTCTCATGACCTTGTACCTTCTGTTGAATTGATTCTGTTTTGTGATTTCCCTGCACTAACTCTTCACTTATCCAACATGAGTGAGCCAAGACTCTTGGGTACCCACATACCATTCCCTTCATTACCCAACTCCATCAAAGAATCTAACTGTAAGATAGTTTATATCTGTAGGAATCCATTTGACACTTTTGTTTCTGCTTGGGAATTCTATCCTAAATCGAAGTTAGTGTCTTTACCTACCTTAACACTCGAGGAAGCATTCAAAAAGTATTGCGATGGCATAATGGGGTATGGTCCATGGTGGAGTCATATGTTAGGTTACTGGAAGGAGAGCATAGACAGACCAAACAAAATTCTGTTCTTGAAATACGAGGATCTTAAAGAGGATACTGAATTTCATGTGAAAAGAATTAGAGTTCTTGGGTTCTCCTATCAGTGAAGGAGAGCATATTAGAAGTATAATCAAACTTTGCAGCTTTGAGAAGATGAAGGATTTGAAAGTGAATATGGTCGGAGATTTTGGAAATTTAAATGGAGAAAAGGTATTTTTTTCGAAAGGGTGAAATAGGAGATTGGATAAATTACTTATCTCCTCCTATGATAGAAAAATTATCCAAAATCATTGAAGAAAAATTAATTGGAACTGGTCTATCATTTAAAATGAATTAGTAAATTACTAAGTAATAATAAGTGGCTCCAGAAGCACCAACATGTTGTTATATTGAGCAATCCAAATATTTTTGTCAATATGCCTTTGTCCATCCTTTTATCTTGTTTTCCACTTTCTTTTCTTCTAACCATGACTCTCCAGTTTTACATTAGATATTCTACTTATTGAACCAAGACATTTTACATTAACTAGAAATAATAAGTCAGGTTCAACTATGGTTTAATCGGTTTTCATTACAAGAAAAAACAATTTTAGCAACCGACAAATTCAGTCGTTAATCTCAAAATTGGTCGCTAATCAGTTAGCGATCGAAATGTGTCGTCGCAAAAGGTCAAGTCGCTAATGCGTGAACAAACAATTTTCATTTCGGTCATAAAATAGCGACCAGATAAGGTGGTCACTAAATAATTCGGTCACTTATTCCTCAGAGACCAAAATAATAACCAAAATTAATATATTAAATTGGTCGCTAAATCGATGGCAAAGTTAAAAAAAATAGTTATATTAATTGAATTATGTAAATAATAATTTAAGCTGGTCACTAAATCGGTTGCAAAAATAGCGGCAGAAATTAATATATTAAATCGGTAACTAAATTGGTGGCAAAATTAAAAAAATAACTACAGATATAATCGATCAGCTAATACATTAGTTGAATTATTTAAATAATAATTTAAATTGGTCGCTAAATTAGTCGCAAAAATAGTCACGGAATAATTTCGGTCGCTAAATTTTAATTGTATATTATAATATAGTTGTAGCGACAGAAAATTCGATCAGCTAATCTAAGCAAAGCTGGAATTTTTTATTTTTATTTTGTATATCCAATTTTCCGAATTTGTACTCGCTTAATTGATCCAAAATTTTAATCATCATAAATATTAAATGTCATCATCCCTGAATATTAATCATCCTAAATTTAATCATCCAATACAATATTCTAATTAACCTTAAAAAATTTTAATTTTTGAATGAATGTCATCAAACAGAACACAAGTGAAAACTTAAGAACTAAAGTCAAATTATTCAAATCATAATAGGAACATTTCAAAGTCATGCAAGCACTCAAGATTCAAAGTCATAATAGAAATAAAATGTTTCTAAACAACCACTCAATATTCAAAGTCTTAATATGATAAAACTAGAAATTAATCCTTTGATATATTGTCAGTATCATGTTGACTTGTAGTTGGATGACTAGGGTTAGGCATAGGAGGACTATTCATCAGAATATGTTGTAAAATAAGCTGCATCTGCTTCATCTGCTCATCTTGTTGGTGTTGATTGGTCCTCAACTCTTGTATCTCTTCATGAAGTGTCTTCTCCTTATCATGTTTTGCCACTAATTCAACATTTAACTTTTCAATAGTCTCACGCATTTGTTCAATTTGATGAAGTACTAGAGTTTGGCGGCTAATAGAAGATTGAGAACCTGATGTAGTAGTGAACGTTTTGCTCAATGTACCAAGTCCATACACGTTTCCTTTTTTATTTTCACCTCTAACAACTGAAAAGTATATTTCATTATCATCAATGGAGACAATAGGAGACTCTTGTGAAGATGAGCCTTCACGCAAGTTATGTTGATGGACTTTTTCTCTGCGCTGCATATATTGCTCCTAAAAATAAAGTGAAATATAATTATTATGAAGAAAACATATACCAAATAATAAACTATAACTTAGATGTTAAACATATGGCAAGATCACGAGTCTTTTCATTGACTCATTGTTCAATATTTAATTTCTTTGTCCTCTCAACAACCTCTTAAACGGTTGGTTCCTGTTGAAATTCCATAGTCTACACATTAAAAATGAGACAAAATTCACTACCTAAAGTATATTATATTGTATTAAATTACTTATATAAAAATATAATAAAACTACCATCTTCTCAAAGTGAGCTGCAGTAGATATGGAACCCCCACATTAAGCTGAGGCACCCTTATCAACAGCTCGATTTGCCTTGGCAATGGCGCTGTTGTTTTGGAAATCTATAGAACTCCAATGTAGGTCCAACGATGCTCGAACAGCTAGCGTATCCAGATCCCCTTATCCTTACCATTCCTAAATTTGTTCATTGAGTTTTTTGAAATTCGAGAACCTTTCTTATAAAAAATAGATCTTATGGCTTGCTCTTGTTCCACATCCCAGATATACTCTTTTTGCATAAAAAAAATACACAACAAACATTTTATTTACAAGAATGAAATGACATTATTTAATGTAACTATAATTCAAATTACCTTCAACTCTCCAAACCATCTATCTCGAAGCTCAAGTGAAACCTTTCTTCAAATGGGACTTGGTTCATCAAATTTTTGTTTGATGATTCTATAGATTATAGCAGGAGGACCATTGGCTGGTATAAACCTGTGTTCAAATATATTGTGTGATTGATATTATTAAAAAATTGCATATTAAAAATAATAATTAAATTAAAACATACTTACTCTCCTTTGTATGCTTGTAACCATAGCCTTTGATCAACTTTATTAATAGACTCAACCTTAATTGCGACTAACCCAGATACCTATGTAGATTGACCAAATGTCGCCTCAGTAGAGAAGGTAGTAGAAATTATTCCTCCTACTATATCTATAAGAGATTCCTGCCGAGTTGAGAGAGGGGTGCGTTCTACATGTTGAACATTCAAGGACTTGATGTTGCAAATAATGATCATGAAGAATGTTGATTTTGATGATGATCCAAGAGCTTAAAGACTTAGAGTATTAAAGATTGAAGATTGATGATTTCTGTATTGTAATAACTCTGTTTTAGTTTGATTGAGTCTGTAATTATAGAGTCTAAGATAGCCGGTACATAGTCCGTAACTTAGAAGCTTCAAAATGCTCAAATTTATCATGCAGGCTCGGCTTTAATCGATTATATAGGTAAATAATCGATTAAAGCAGATGAGAAAAACACTTTCTATACAAACTCACTATTTTAATCGATTAAACAGACAAAATAATTGATTATTTCAGTACCGTTCAGATGCAGATAATCGATTATTTCACCAAATAATCGATTAAACCAGAGAGGATTGGGTTCGACGTATTTGGCTTCTGTTTTAATCGATTATTACTCCAAATAATCGATTATTTCGATCTGTTTCTGATTTTAAACATCAAACAAACCCTATTTTCGAAAACCCAATTACCAAGAACCCTAGTTTCGAAATCCCCAATTCCTAAACCCTAATTTCCCTACTTAAACTCTGCTTTGGCACTCAGAAAAGTAGAACAACTCTTTCCATACAAAAGTTAAGTGCTATGAGTGCCAGAGAACTGTTTGTTGCAAGGAAAGGGGGCTTTTGGAACCTGGTGTGAGGCTAGAAGCGATAAGAATCACTAAGTGGAGTTCTTAGTGGATTGTGTGATGTGCCGTCTCTAGGGAAAGCTGTTCTTCATCTCTTGTGGATTTCAAGAGAGGTGTTGTCTTTACTTTATCTCTTTGATTTGTAATCTGTTTTTAACAATTTGTTCTTAGTGACAGCGTTAATCCTCTTTTGAGTGATTAGCAACTGGACGTAGGGTCTTTTGATCCGAACTAGTATAAACCTACTGTGTAATCTTCTCTACTCTTCTCTATTTACATTTACGCAGTTTTTAATCGGTAAAATTTGGGGAAAATTTTGAAAACCTAATTTTTATTAAGAAACCAATTCATCCCCCCTCTTGGTTTTTGTCCGACCACGCGAACATTCCGCTGTGTGATTCTAACAAGTGGTATCAGAGCTTGCTTTGATAGTCATTCAAACTTTTCGAAAATGGCCGGACAAAATCAAACTTTTGCCGAAGGTGCGTCTATCAACAGACCCCCACTTTTTGCGGGTCAAAATTACCCTTTTTGGAAAGTACGTATGCAAATATTTTTAGAGTCTGTTGATAGAGGCGTTTGGGACGCAATTTTAAACGGTCCATTTGTTCCTAAAATTACAGAGAACGGTGTTGACGTTCTTAAACCTATTTCTAGATGGATCTGCAGAAGAAAGTCGAAAAGCACAATTTGATGTTAGGGCTAGAAACATTATTTCATCTGCTCTAACCCTTGATGAGTTTTATAGAATTTCAGTTTGTAAAAGTGCACAGGAAATGTGGGAAATGCTAAGGGTGACCCACGAAGGAACTGACGACGTCAAAAGAGCGCGTAAAAATTCTCTAATCCAAGAGTACGAAATGTTCCGGATGCAACCCGGCGAAACGATTTTCGACGTTCAAAAGCGTTTCACTCATATTGTGAATCATCTCACCGGATTAGGTAAAATTTTTGACGTTGATGAATTAAATGTTAAAATTTTGAAATCTCTGGATAGGAAATGGCAACCAAAGGTGACGGCCATCTCGGAGTCACAAAATCTTGCCACTATGTCTATGGCGGCGTTATTTGGAAAGCTTAGGGAGCATGAGCTTGACCTTGGAAGGCTAAATGAGGAAGAGGATCAATATCAAAAGAAGAACCTAGCTTTCAAAACCGAGATTTCAAAAAGCAAAAATAAGAAAGAAGAAGAAGAAGACTCTGAAATTGATGAAGAAGAAATGAGTCTTTTTATAAAGAAGTTCACCAAGATGATGAAAGCAAAAGGAAGACATCCTTTCAAAGGTAAGGGAAAGGTAAAAGAAAATTCTTCCATTAATATAAAATGTTTTGGTTGTGGTGAAGCAGGGCATATAAAGACCGAATGCCCAAACAAGAAAAATGATGAACACAAGGACAAAAAGCAATTCAAGAAGAAAGCATATATTGCTTGGGATGACAGTGATTCAA